TTGTATAGATTTTTAACACAGCCATATTACAAACATTGTCAGGGAACATTTACAAGAATAAATAAGATGGACTTGCAGGTGTAAAAAGATTACACTTCACTGTAATGTACAGTCAAAAAATATATCTGATATTCATTGACCTGACATTATTTACCTTCTGCTTTTTTTTAAGCTAGAATTGGAAAGGAAAAAGAAAAGAAAAAGAACATTGACAGCACAGTGCTGGCTTTTCTTTAAAAGTTGATTTATTTTGTTTTCTCTTCTTGTACGTGCTTTATCTATCAAACACCCAAACTGTACAAGTGCAGGCCATTGGGATTCATGGAGGAGGCTGCAGACGGCGTGGAGACTTTGGTCTCATGCAATATCATATGTCCAGTGGATGTGAAAATGTCAGCCTCCCTGGAGTTGAGTGGGAACCCCATGATAGCTCCTATGGGGCTATGATGGTGCCCAGTAGCCAAGACAATAATAGATGCCCCCACTCTTTGCCTTTGACTGGCTAGAAGTATGTAGGGTGAAAAGAGAAGATAAAAAAGTGCTCTGATTACCAATATGGGTTAACCTCGATTAACCTGGGCTAGCCCAGGATCCAGCTAGTGATGAAATGTGCACATTGGAAAGGATGATAATCACGTGTCAACTGAGTCACTGTGCTTTTGCTTTTGCCATCTGCTCCGACGGGCCTCCAGTGGGGAGTGGGGGTAGAATTAACTTCGGGAGATAATGTATATGGTGAGCAAAGCCCTGCTCTGGGTCCCACTTGGACCTTTACTGGTTTGGGCTGTCACTGATGGCCCTGTTGGCCAGTGGGTCTGAGTTCTGGCTGCTCTCATCAGAGATCCAAGTGGGCATCGGCTCTATGGCAAAGCAGCTGTTCCCTGTGGTTTGGTGTTTGCTGAAAACCAGCCTGGATGAGCCCAGGATACGTGGCCAGAGAATCATGTTGGCCTGCATGGTAGGGAGACTTGGGCTGGGATAGCAGGGGCCTGAACCTGCACAAACCAAACACACCCCACTCGGCTTTGTTCTCTGCAGGTATGAATGGGCTCAAACAGGACCCCAGCTCCACAGGGTCTCACCCATTTGAAATGGAAGTCATCTCAACAGTGCTCCTTCTTCCCTTTAAAGAGATGTCTGGCTGCTGCGGGACAGCTGCTGAGAGGGGCAACTTACCATCTCTGGCAGACAGAAAATCCTTCCCTACCGCTGTTAAGTTTCACACATTCGTCCTAGTTCTACTCACAGGAGTGACCTGGGCCTAGCAAACTGCTTGACTTTATCCAATAATCTGCATACCTATGGAAGATATGGGCACTAGATTCCGCCTGACCCTTCAGAAGCCTGGTTTTACCTGGGAGATACCACTCTGCCTTCTAAGCCTCCAACTGCCCTGGGGGCTTTGACCCAAAGAATACCTTACACTATTAATCTTCCATGGAAGAGACAGGGACAGGGCTGGTACTGAGAGTTTGTCTGACCATCACATTGGAGGTCCACTGATATGTATTCACAAGCCCAAAGGCACTAAAGTCCCTGTATAAGGACCCAATTTTGCAATTTTGACAGGTTACTTCCTATCACCCTTTCCTCCTCCAAATCCAAGAGTCCCACTACCAAGGAACCATGAACTACATTAATTACCCTGAGCTCCAATAGTTTCCTAACATTCCAAGGCCACCAGACCCCTCATTCTCTGAACATTCCAACCAAGGATCAGGGTCCATATCCTACCACCTAGAGCAGCTCTCAGATACAGAAGGAAGCCTGTTAGTGATCCAGACCTCCCAAACTCTTCCTAGTACATTCCCTTCCACCCTGAGTTCTTCTACATCCCTATAACAACCCCAGGGGACACCACCAAGCTCTGAGATAGCTGGGGTGCTAGGCCTGGGGGGCTACCATTGTGGGTGCTGATCCCTCCTCTTGGAGATCTAACATTTATGGGTAGACTTCAGGGGTGGATGTAGCCCCTTTGATGGCCTTTTCCCATCTCTTCTGGAAGTGAGCAGGAAGGATACAAGAGATTGGCTTGACCTCTACAAGACAATTATACAGCCAGTGCCATGCAAAAGTCTATTCCTGGCTACCTAGAAACCAAGAGTGGGTCTGCTCATGTGCACAAATATGGCTTTGACATCTCTGGTGTGCTTCTGAGGATCAGATCCATGACCCTGAAATATGTGTCAGAAGAAACTGGAGCTGGAACAACCCCCTGCTCTCTACCGCTAACCTCTCTCCTGCTGTTCAGACAGTGCATGACCTTGAAGGCAGATTCCCTGCTAGGTGAAGCCAAGGCTCTGCATTTTAGATACGTGTACATGGAAAATATCCACCAGGAAACCCTTGCATGGGAGTAGATGAACAAGGCTGAATTTCTTCTGGTCTCTTCTGGTTGGGTTCACTTTTCCTATTTCCCTGTTCTACTCAACTGTGATTTAGAGCTGGTCAGAGGCTGAAAAGGAGCCCAGATTGGTTGGATAATGGGGAAAGCAAGTCAGGGTTTGAGATGACATGACTATGTTTTATCTTCTGACCTGCCCTTCAGCTTGGGTTGACCATTTGTCCTGGGGAACATGGCACAGCATAGTCTGGTGGAAACATCTTTGCAAGTCAGAAAAAACCATTTAAGTCCTGGCTCACTCATTCACTAGCTGTGGAACTGTAGGCAAGTGACTGCTCCCCTCGGAGCCTCAGTTTCTTTATCAATAAAATGGTGACAATCACAGACACTTCTTAGGAATGTTGGAAGAACTCAGTGAGTTCATGTGTTAGAGCCCCCAGCACAGGGTCTGCCGGTTCCTGTAAAGGCTGACATCTGGTCGGCCATCACTCAGGTCACACACAGAGAGGGCCAGCACTAAAAGCAAGCTGGCCCCTTCCATTCCCACCAGGGCTCTGGCTAGCCCAGGGTCTTCACACCAGGAAAGGTGAAAGGTTGCAATGTCAGGGTGCAGCCAAGATACACCCTGAAGCTACCTAGGCCATAAACACACACAGGTAGGGGCAGTTCCTGGCTTCTTGTTAATCTCTCATATCCCCTCCAAACAGGGTCTGTAGGAGGGGAGAACCACAGGAGCTCACTAAGTGCCACTCTTTGGCACCCAGACACAAGAGGATGGCTCTTATAGTGGAGACTCAGAGAGCATCAGTGCTACTTTCCTCTGCTTACAGCAGGCCAAGCCCACCCTGGAACTGGGGTGGCGTGGGGAGACACCTTAAGGAAGGTGGTGTTTGCACAGGAAATTTCCTGGGTAAAGAGTCAAGTTCAAATTCCTGGGCACCGGTGCCCTGTCTCATCCAAGCCCTGCCACATACTTGCCACATGGGATCTTAGGGAAGTCAAACCCATCTACTAGCCTCAGTTTCTCCTTGCATACCCTGGCCTAAGACCTGCTCACTGCTGCCCTGTCTTCTCTGGAGGGAGGTTGGGTTGTATGAAGAGGCTGAGCTGGGAGAATCAGCCCTGGCTGGGACACCCCACCATGGCCTGAGTTTTTTACCAGTTTCTTTCTCCCTGGAGTCACACTTTAAATTCCTACCATTTGAAATAATAGAAGCCACTGTCATTTTTATCCGCCAGCTATTTCACCCCTTCCCGAGCAGAATAAATCCTAGGATTTGTGTTAAATAGCTCTCCCTCCGCCCTCATCCTGCTGGATGAGCCGAGATCTGAGAAAACAGCACACAACGGGCTGGTTTGCCATGCTACAGGCTCCCTGAAGGCTGGGGACAGTCACCTGGGGCAGTGGGCTGGAGCCCAGGGAAGCCAGGGGGACCCGTGGGGGCTGGGGGGCCTGGGGGCCTGCTCACATACACCTGGGAAGAGGCTCAGCAAAGGACAAGAGCGAGGTCATCGTGGGGTTCCTTTGTCTGCCTTTGCTTTGAGACACTTCCTTTTGAACCTCCAAAGTGACAGCCCTTCCTTGATCAAGTCTGGTGTCCCTGGACTTCCAGACAGCTCCAGAGCCTGTGCCAATGGAAGCGGCTTCACGGGCTCCTTTCATGTCCTGTCCTCGCGGGCCTGGAGATCTGGGTTGGTGACCCTGCTCCTGTGCTAAAGCAGAGGCCCGGGTTGCTTGCAGAAGCTGAATATTTTTGTCCCAGCAAACAAAATAACGAGAGACAGACAGATGGATGTGGTATTAAAAAGTACGCGCTGGAGGGAATGTTTTCACAGTGTCTGATGAGAGGAAAAGAGGCAGCCCACTGGCCCAGCAGGACCCTTTCCAACACTCGGCTGAGCACATCACTCGGAAGCTCTGCCGACTGCTTGTTGCCTGTAGGACGAAGTCTGCACCCTCAGTGGGCATCTGTCGCCCGGACCCTGGCCCGTGGCCTGGCTCTCCCCCTGCAGTGCTGCGCCCAGCCGGGCAAGCCTCCCCCGTCTCCTCGTACTGCCCTTCCCAATGCCTTTCCCATCTCTTTGCTGTGCACATGCTGACTCTTGGCCTGAGCTCCCTTTTCCTCCTTGTGCTGTCTGCTAAGATCCGGCGGGAGTAGACGGCACCTCCTCTGGGAGGCCCCACCTTGCTCCGCCACCACTGCCCTGTGATTCAATTTCCCCAGTGGGCAGCGAGCTCTGGAGGGCAAAGGCTGTGCCCTCATTAGTTCTGTGCCCCTCATGCCCCGTCTAGAGCTAGACTAGCCGCCACGATGGAGCTTCCTTAGGTCCCAGGCCACCCCGAGGCTGTCGGACATTGTGCCTAAGCACCATCTAGAGACCAAAGTCAAGAGTGTCCCTGGCTGGTCCCCTCATAGCCTGAGAAAACAGGGAATTGTTTTCACTAAGAAGGGAGATGAGGCTAGCTTTCCCGGGGAGCTGGGAATGGGTTATTGAAATATATCTGACATTCTGGGCTTCCCAGAAGAACTGACATCAGGAAGAAAGAGCTAAATTCCCATTTGTGGAGCTCTCCGCTCAGAAGTTTCTGGCTTTATTTTTTCCCTCCATAAAATAATTGCTCAGCTGAGAAAAAAAAATGGAGAAAACAGTAAAGTCTCATTGCCGTCACCTGCCATTTTGAAATCCAGGATTTCATCACTGAGGACGGTGCCTCGGTTTCCTCAGCTGTGAAATGGAGATGGTGATGAGCTAATCGCTCTGTCCTGGGGGTTGTAAGGACAACGTGAGATGTCACTCGGAAAGTGCCAAGCACGACGCCTGCCGTACAGTTGTGACTTAGCCAGTGTTGGCCTCTTCTGACTCACTCATACTTTGAACAAGACCCTGCCCCCCCCAGACCTGATTCCCTTGGCCTACTTTAAACCAACTGGGTGTAACTGGGTCCACAACGGTCTTTTCAAGTGGCAGCTGGTTTCTCTAGGAAGGAGTTCGAAGGTGGAGATCCCAGTTATGCACAAGGCTGGGGCTCTACACACTCCAGACACCAAAGGGACCGTCTTCAGACTAGCTCATCTCTCCCTTGCTCAACTGCTGGGCTGTCCCTCGTGGAGCATTTTAGGGACGTTACAGGGAAAGATCAGCCCAAGGGATTTCTCTTAGAGCTACACGCCCAAAGTCTTCCCTTCCCTTTTTTGACATAAGAGACTAAGATTTCACACCTCCCAAAAAGAAAGTTTCTGCTCACATACACTTTGGAAAATAATCAACTCTTGTCCTGCTTGTCTCTCCAAAAGGAAGCTGCCACCAAAGAGACACAGGGGTTACACTGCATGGGTCACCCTGCCCCAGGGAGGTGGTCTTTTCACACAAAGATAGGGAGCAGCAGCAAACTTCCCTGCAGTTCCACCCCTTCCCAGCGACCCCCCACAAGCAAAGGAAACCTTTCTCGGAGAGTGCTGCGGACACAGCTTGTTGGCCAGTGAATGACAGACGGTTAAGGCCCGGGCTGGGGAAGGGGTACAGAGTGTCTCGGGCCACAAGCCCCATGCAGGTTCGGTGTGAGGACGGGGCCCTCTGCTGTGGCCTGGGGTGTACCCCAAGGCCACGCTGGGCCAGACGGCAGGTGTCTGGTGCCAGAGGCCCGCAGAGGAGATTGCAGGGGGCAGCAGAGCAGAGACCCCCAAGAGCCCCAATCTTTCCCATGACACGGAGGAGCAGAGCACACGTCTCCCCCCCTCCTAGGAGAAGCAGGGCAGGGGAGGCGCTGCTGAGCCCCCCACCCCCGGCACCTGCACAGCCGGCTGCCACGAGGGTCACAAACTCAGAACGAACAAAAGCAAGAGGTCTGGGGACTGGAAGTCTGAGGCCTTGCTTGGGGGTGCCCTTCTGCCCAGGCCGTGGCTGTGGCTGGTGGGGCTAGAAGGGAAGTCCGGAACTTTCGGAGCAGCATCTCCTGCAGCCCTGGGAGACCCCTTGGAGGGCGCAGACACCCCGAGGAATGTCGGGCCATCAGTCTTCTTCTTGGAGTCGGGCAAGGGTGCCACCTCGGTCACTGCCAGTCACAGAAAAGGGGGCTTGGCCGCAGCAGCCTCTGGGCTCCCGCAGGCTCCCCATCCCATGGAGCTAAAAGGAGCTTAAATATTCCAGTGCCACCTCGTATACAAATTTATACTGTTCCTGAGAGGGGGACGGGAGACGAGAGAGAGAGATGGGAAGGAATGAGACAGAGCATTTAGTTTAGAGATACAGGTTTGGGAGAAAACTTCATCTACCTCAATATCACCCATATCTGGGCGTCCTTCAAAGTCTTGCTTCTACCCAGGCTTTCTTGAATGCCCGAATGGGATCACTCCCTTTCTTTTTACTGTTTCATGCAACAGCGCTTCTCAAACTGCGATGTGCACACAAGGCACCCAAGAATCTTTTTAGAATGTAGATTCCGATGCAGGAAACCTGGAGTGGGATTCAAGGTTCTGCATTTCCAACGAGCTCCCCAGGCGATGCTGCCATTGCCCATCTGTGGGTCACGCTTTGCACGGGACCTTGTCCTGAATGCGACCCCGCTTTGAGTCGGTCTGCAGTTCTCGAGTGTGGTCTGTCTCCGCCCGGCACCAAGCCCTGTAGTCCGGGGCTCTGCCTGCCCACTCTCCACGCTCGTCACCACCCTTTCCCCCACCGCGTCCTAGTTCAATGCTCTAAACCGGGAGCATTAGCATAAATGAATTAGAATGGAATTGGACTGAATTGAAAACATAATTCACATTCTACTAATCCGGAGGCCTTTCCTTTAAGCCTGAATTAATGACACTTTCTTAAGGAATGGGCAGAAAGTAAAACAAAGTAGATGTGCTGGGATTCATATTTGGATTTCCCTGCAGGAAGGAGAAATTGGGGGCGCTGGAAGGGGGATAAAGTGGGCAGACAACAGTGAATGCCCAGGGCACAGACTGTGGGTCCTCAGTAAGCACCCGGCTGTTGAGCACTTTTACTATGGGATGTCACTGGCTTCAGGTCAAGGGAACTGCGGCTAGCCCCTGGCTGTTGGAGGCTAGCTCTTGGGACACTCACCAGGGTCTCCACCATGTTGGATTTGTTGTTACGCAGTGTTTTCACAATGTGGAACACGTCAATGATGTTTTGCTGCTGGATCATCTCACACACGCTGCAGATGGCACAGAAGGTTCCGCTGCGGCCTCCCCCGTTCCTAGACACAGAGGGGAGAGGTGAGCCCCATTTCCAGGTCCCCCTGCTCCTGCTGACCCGAAAGCCACAGCAGTAGTCGTGGGGAGTGGCTGCCCCAGCAAATGCATGAGAAGGCAACGGTGAGAGCCTGAGCCTGAGCCGTGAGTTACAGTTTGAGTCTCCCCTGTGCCATGAACCTGCTCTGACCTTGGGCAAATCACATCCCCCATCTGGTTCCCAAGTTTCCCCTTCATATAGCGAAGGGGTTGGGCTGGATAACCTTTAAGAGCTTAGTTAGCTTGATGTTTCCTTGGTTCTATGAGCACATTACAGTCACCCAAGGTACACTGACCCGAACCCCCAGGGCAGGACGACATTGTGTCCGTGTACACATAGTGCCTTGCCCAAAAGGATGCTCTGGGTCTATCTACACATCCAATAAAGGCCATAGAAATTTCCAGGCGACTTTCCTGCTAGTTCTTCCCATCCCTCACTAAGGGCAGCAATACTCTGTTAGCCTAGGACCAGCCAGCCCAGGCTTGGAGGCAGGAGCTGGGGTTGGCCTGAGAGGCTGTGTCCTGAAATGACATGTCTCTACTGTACATCTTGGTTTAAGGGTCTGGTCGTGATTATAGGGACAGAGGGCTCACAGCAGAGCCATCCCTGTTACTCTTTCTTTCTGGCTCTGTAAGTCATCTTCATGGAAACATCCTTCAAACTCTTTACATAAAGTCCTTTTAGGAATCTTCCTGATTCGGAACTCCTGGGCGTGTTGCCAAGAGCAACTAATGATTTCACGTAATGGTCTGTGTCTGAAGAACATCTGGATGGAAGCTAAGGCACTTAGTCAATCTCCCAGATGTTTTATCTACAGGACACCCAACAGCCAGATGTTTCGAGTACAGACAGTTGCCTTCCATTCACTGGCTGGTGCCTGCATTTCAGGGTCTGTAACAGAGTCTGTGGCCTTCCAGAATGCCAAGGTCTCTGTTGGTAGAAAGACACCCCTGTGCTTTCCTTTGGTTCAAACTACTGGTCATCTCGGCTGGGGGGGACATGGATTAAATAGGTACTCCTGCAAGAAAAGCAGGTCAAAGAACAAACAGAGGGAGAGCAGGGAGGGACTCCGGGAAGGAGGGATTGGTGATTTCTGAAGCAAGAATAACAGAGTCCAGAGGAAGAGGTGAGTGGACACAGGTGTCTCAGGGCCTGGTGGAGTGAGACCCTGGAGGGATGGGTGTGGCTCTGTGCCAATGGTGAGGTCACCTGCATGTGTGGGAGGGAACTACAGGCAGCAGGGATTATTTGACAGGACACCAGCTGCTGGCCTCTGGCATGTGGGCAGAGCCAGCTTGGCCTGGCTGATGTCACTCATTGACCTGACTTGGGACACCGCACAGCATCCTCCTAGACTCCAAACTCCACTGAGATTGGTGTCCTTTGGGAAGGGGGTTTAGCTCTCTTTTTCTGTGTGTGTGTGTGTGTGTGTGTAACCTCCTTTAAGCTCTCCGACTTTTTCCTGGTGTGTACATGCACCGCCTATTTGATAGAAGGAGAACAGTTAGCTGGTTTTGAAAAGACTGAACTCAATTCTGAGGTCAGTTAGATATTCTTAATGCCTCTACCTGCTCCAGAAATATTTGTTCTGAGAAAGAGAAGACCTTGGTTCAAATTTCTTTAACACAACATTTTAAAAGAGGGAGGTCTTCTAAAATTCTCCCCAAATCCTTTATGTTCTAAGAAGCAAAGTGAATGAATGTGACTCAAACATCCTGCACATAGCTATTATGTCTGCAGGCTTGTTTTGGGTCCAAGATCTTTGTAGACTCCTTCTCTGTGGTCACTTTAGACTCCTATGGTAGACTCCGTGACCCCTGCTCTTTTAAGTAATCACGTTTACAACATTTGCATATTTGCTACCACGACTTTTTTGATCTCTATATTGGCAGACAGATTGCATTTATTTTCTAACTATTTCATGTCAAAGCACTATGGGGTCTGAAGATTATCTAATTCAACATACCTACTGGACAGATATGGAAACTGAGGCTCACAAAATGAAGTGGTTTTCTGGATGCTACACAGCTTGTCAGCCACAGTCCTCTAAGGGTCCTGACCTCCACCCGGCGTAACAAACCAGGGTGCCCATTCAAAGACACGAGGTAAAGGCTCCAGTTCACACCAGTAATGGAACTATAAACACACTGGCCTTGATCCCACTGTGCCCCTGGGAAACAGTGTTCCCAGGGCCCTTGGAATCCATCTATCAGGCTCTCTGTGTCCTTTTGTCCCCACTAAACCCCCAGTAGAGATACCCCAGGAGGGAGACACAGTGGACAAGTCCTTTGGTTTACTCAGAGGCAGTGTGTGTTAATAGATGGTGTTTCAGCTTAGAGCCCAGTGAATGCAAATCATAGCCCCTGTCTTGATTACCTGCTTAGCTTACCTGGCCTGTGCCTCAGTTTCCCCAAATGATAATATCTATCGCAAGTGGAATGAATGATTCATTTAGAATGTCTGCTTAAATTAAGCCCACTTAATCAATACCTTCCCTTTTCTCTTCTCTTCCTCCTTCAGGAGATAATAAAGGAGGCTCTGGTCAGTGGAACCCACTGCGTCCTGAGCTTTCTTGTGACTAGCAGGACACAGCACGTGGGGCTCATCTACTTACTGGGAGCACTGGGGAGTGGTCTGCCATTCTCCTCCCATGTTTGTGGAATGGCCACCAGGTTTTGTATCAACAGTATGTCATATAACAATAGTTCAGGACAACAGATTGGCAGCCCCATCCTGTTAAAGGGTTATAATTCCTTTGAATGAACCATTGGCCTTTAGGGAATGCTGAGAGGCATCTTCAAGGATGCTCTATCACCTGTCACCCCGCTGCACCGGCAGCACCTCCCCATACTCACAGGCAGTGGACCACGGTGCGTCCCTCCCTCCCGTCATACTGCTCCTGCCACTTCTCCAGCCGTCGGACCACTTTGAGCAGAGAGCGCTTGGAGGGGGGGGTGTCCCGGTAGGCAGGCCAGCCAATGTACTGGAGGTGCTGGACTATACGGTAACCGTCCTGTGGCTGAGAACAGAGAGGCTGTTAGGGCTGTTCTGCTGGGGAAGCTTGGGGCTGCAAGCCTTCCAGATTCCCTGGGGGCTGCAGCAGTGTAGTGGGAGTCAGGCTAACGGGATCTAAGCCATGTCCTCATGGAGAGAGTCGCAAGTTATAAACCTACCTTTATACTTTTGTGCATACTGGTTTTCCTGCCCTGACTACCCTGAACTTCTCGCTATCTGGAAAACACTCCTATTCAGCCCTTCAAAACCCAGTTCAAATATCCCTTTCTTTAGGAAAGCCTTCTCTGACTCCACCGGGCAGAGTTCCTCTCTCTCTCTGAGGCTCATGTGCTAGTACATATGCTAGGACTTTCCCATTCAATAGTGAACTCTGAGGGCAGGGGCCGAGTTCCATTCACCCTGGGCCCCCAGTAGAGACCAAAGCTGCTTTAGCGAGCCATCACTCATAGATTACTAATCTACCCCCTGCCACCCAGCACCCCTCCATTCAGCCGGTGAATATCCGGAAGCAACTGATTATTGCTCACGGAAGCAACTAATCATTTTTCATCTTGGAGTTTGAAGGACCTGGCCCAAATCTCACTGGACCCAATCAAAGCCACATCCGCTCTGCTAAAGCAGCGTGGCACAGCGGGGAAGAGCTAATGCCTGAGAAGTTTTGTCTGCATGGCAGCAAGTTGTGTCAGGAAACAGGCAGAAGGCAGGTTGGATGTCACTCTTTGCATCTCTGTGTTGCAGTCACTGCTGGGTCTGGGCTGGAACCAGCAGAGGCATCACTACCCGAGGAGGAGATTACAGGAGAGTGTAACACACACGCTTGGCTGGCTCAGCAGATCCTCTCCCGGCAGCCTCCATCTGGTTTGGGGGGGAGGCCCTGCACTCACCCGAGCCATATTACAGATGCGGAATATTCTGTGGATGATGTCCTCATCGATGTCCGCAGACACGAACTCCACCTGGATGGGCCCGTAGCACCCGGACGTCTTCTCAGGCCAGTACTGCATACAGAGCTGGGACAGGAGACAGGGCACAGGAAAAGGCCAAGGACAAGAGGGGTCGTCAGTCATGTGGGCCACTGAGCTGTTCCTATTGCTGGCAGGACACCCTGGGTGGAAAGGGAGTGTATTATGCAGGAAAACAGACTCCGCTTCCCCTTTGGTGCTGAAACGTCAAGCCGCTGAGCATAGAAACACTGGGCCTGAACATTTTGCCATGTGGGTTTCAAACCATGTGTTAGGCTTGCTGGATCTCAGTTTCCTAATCTGTAAAATAGGTAGAATAATACCCACCTCGAAGCCCTGCTGTCAGAATTAGATAGAACACTCAGGGAAGAGAAAATACAATTTTTTTTTTTTTTTTTTTTTTTTTTTTTTTTTTTTTTTTTTTTTAGCACCACACAGATCATGGCAAACTTTTTTCCATTCCAAGAAAACCTTCACATTGCTCATTCATGATCACATCATGAGTAGTTTTAAAAATACAGAGTTTGACATCAGTCTTTGGTCCAAATCCAGGCTCTGCTGCTTACTAGCTGTGTGACCCAGGCCTCAGTTTCCTCATATGTGAAGTGGGGATAATTACACCTACTTTGCGCCAAAAGGTATGCCACATGGTGTTGAGGTCTTGCCTGTGATTTTCCCTGTTTATCTGGAATCGGGAATTTGGACCCACAGCCGAGAGCAAAAGGCAGTGGTTGCTGTTCCGTCTAAGACAGCGGTTTTCAGCTGGAGGCAGTTTTGTCCCCCAGCGGACATCTGGCAGTGTCTAAAGACATTTTCGATTGTCACACCTGGGGGTTGCTATGGGCATCTAGTGAGTAGAGGCCAAGATGCTGCTAAACATCCTGCAACGCCCAGCATAGCTCTCCACCCAGAGTCATCCGGCTCCCAATGTCAACACTGCAGAGATTGAGAAACTTCAGTCTAGGATCACAGATTATTCTTTAAGCTAATGGAGAGACAGATACTTCATTTCCTTGCATCTGTTGGGCCACAAGATGACTTCGGTTGAGGAAAGAAGATTGAGGTGGGTGGCAGGGTGGGTGGCTGCAGAGAGGGACACATTCCTGATTCCCAAGGGGCAAAGCGATGGATCCTGCCTAGATCAACAGGCCCCAGAGTTGGGGGACAGAGGAGAGCTAAGATTGGGGCTGCAGGCTTGCTAGGGACAAAGAGGTCAAGAGTTAGAAAGACCCTCCATCTGGGGGTTGCCCTGAAGATACAGTCAAGATTCACAAAGACCCCTCAAGGCTTCTGAGAGCATCTTAGGATTGAATCTGTCATCAGTGGGGTCTGCCACGGCCTACCCCAAGCTTGCAGACAAGGGGCTGGATTGGCAGAGGTGACCCACCCCCTTGGATGCATGGTTTTCATGAAAGGGAGCAATTGCTCTCCTCTTTTTTTTTTGAGACAGAGTCTCACTCTGTTGCCCGGGCTAGACTTGCCATTGGGTCAGCCTAGCTCACAGCAACCTCAAATACCTGGGCTCAAGTGATTCTCCTGCCTCAGTCTCCCAAGTTGCTGGGATGACAGGCATACGCCACCATGGCCGGCTAATTTTTTCTATATATTTTTAGTTGTCCAGCTAATTTCTCTCAATTTTTTTTTTTAGTAGAGATGGGGTATCACTCTTGTTCAGGCTGGTCTCGAACTCCTGAACTCAAACGATCTGCCTGCCTTGCTTTCCAGAGTGCGAGGATTACAGGTGTGTGCCACCGCACCGGGCCTCAACTCTCCTCTTTGTTGATCAAGGACAGCCATCTCAGGCTGGGAGTTTCACAAGCAAAGAATGTCTTTAATTCTCTTCTTCCTCCGGAACTGGAACTTAGAAGGGAAGAGCAGGGAGGCAGAGGGACATAAGAGGGAGAAAAACGACATCTCCCACCTTCCTAGCTGTGGAAATCCCAAATTCTAGCTGAGGAATAACACCGCTCACCTTACAGCAGTGGCTGGCATTCTACAGCCCTCAGGCCCAATCCGGCCAGCCTCCTGTTTTTGCAAGTCAAGTTTTGTTGAAATTCAGCTACATGTATTTG